AATTAAATATTTATTAATTAATCGATTAGTCATTATAACTATAATGTATCAATTGATTATGTAATTTAATCATATTTTTCTATAATTAATTAATCAATCATATTTTACCAATTACTAATCACAAATGTTTTAAATTCTTTCCAAACTAAATTTCTAAAAAGGTAAAGGAGAATTTATACAACATACTTGCAGATCAGCAGACTTGTAATTCAGAGAAATTAAGTAAAAATTAATGATTTCGAAGTGATGAATACACCTAAAAAAAATAATAACAAAATCAATTAATAAATTGAGAAAGGTAAAAATCATATTAATGAAAATAAAAATTATAATAGAAGAAGAAGAATGAGCACGTTTAAAAATATTAAAATTTTTAGATTAAATATATGTTCTGAACGCCGAAGAGTGAAGAGTGAAGTTCTGAACGCCGAAGGGTGTTACAAGATTTTAACAACATGGCTCACTTGAAATGTAGCAACTATTTATTATAATAATTATAACAGTACTTTGTTTTGTTGTTTGAACTGTTTATATTAAACTATAAAATAAGGAGTATCGGATGAAAGGGATAAGGACAACACTCAATATAAGGGATTGTTTGCTTGTCTCTATCTAATATTTTAAGTTGTGCAAATTTATAAATATAATAAAAAATAAAAATTTCAAATTAAGTATAATTTATTAATTACTAAATTGCCATGATTAAGTTTGTTAGAGATTACAACCGATACCATGCCGATTAAGTTAGTTTGCACTGTCACCATCTGTTAACAGTAAAAAATAGAAAAGATAGTGTGGAACCGAGATCTTATTAATAGAGAGAGTTTACAATGAAGAGAGAATGATGATGGAAAATTATCTCCTTCCTTAGGTTAGTCCTAGAGGTATTTATAGGATACCTAAATACAGTTACTCTAGGAATACAATTTTATTTAATTGGTGTTTGGGATATTCTTATTCTAGTGGGATTTATCCTAACTAACTTTGATAAGATTATCTATAGAATATCTCCACGTGTCCTGATTCTCATAGGACTTGATTTAGGGTACAACATTTGCCCTCCAATGAAGAAGTTTGAGGGTAGTGAAAACTTCAACGGGTGTCTGTCTTTCTTATTGCTTTGCTGATCTTGGTTTTGAATTTTGCGCAGGTTCCCACTTTTTTAACTGTGACTGCCTCATTAAAAACCTTAACTAGAAAAAACCCTGTGGGATAAAAAATCTAGCTTAAGGAAAAAAGAGTGCAGCATAGGTTTTTCCTTCATGATTCTTGGCGCAGTTTCCTCATTAAAAAATTTTTGTTGAAATTAATTGTTCTGCAAATTTGTGCTAATTTATCCAGGTATTTTTCCATATCTCCATAGTTGCATTTCCCGGATTTTCTACCTCTTGGCAGCCTCTTTTTATGCACGTGGCCCCCATTGTATGGTTTATTCGTACAGCAGGTCCTTTTGGTTCAAACTCCTATTTCCTTGGGATTTTATGCAATTTATCCTTTTGGCTTTCAAATGGAGCTTTCTTGGTTTCCTGATTCTTCCATTTCATCTTTATTGACTACTTTTTGATTTCTTTTTGTTTTCTTTCTTTTTGCCTTTTCTTTTTCTTCCTTTTGAGAAAGACTTCTTTGATCTTGTGATTTGATCAGGCCGGTTGTCTTGTGATGGCTGTTAATCCTTCTGCTTTCGGTTTTGTTTCGATCCCTACTTCCGGCTCTATTTCGATCCCTGCTTCCGATTCTATTCCGATCCTTGCTTTCGTTGGTTCTTGCATTTTCTTTCTTTTTCTTCGCCATTTTTCTGTTTTGATGGAGGGGAATCCTTCAAAATCTGCTGTTATGGCTCCAGTTGCTCGGGATATTGCCGAGATGGGGGTGGATCCCATTGTCAGAGGTGATCTTAGAAATTTCTCTTACTACTGTCGAGGCCATGACAATTTCTCTTTCTGTTGTTGCTAGTTTTTCCTGTTCTTGCCTTTGTTGGTTCAAAAGTGAGCCTTTCTTCTTTCGAATCCAAGTGTTTTGACATTTTCCATTTTCCTGGCTGGTTTGTGGTGAAGGATGCTTTACGTCATGTAGAGAGGAATCCCATGACCCTTCCTTTTCCAATGGAGGTTCCTACGATTTTTTCTTCCAAGCCTGTCCTCATAACTAAAGAGAGAGCAGTTGGTCCTCTAATGCCTTCAGGAATGCTGCATCCAAGAACAACACCATGTTCATCACCTTAATCCTTCTATCTCCGACTCCTCCAAACCCTCCCCCAACTATAACTGCTGAGATCGTGAAAGGAGGCGAGACAAGGAACGCTGCTCGGAATGCTACAATTGCTAGCATGAGGAGGAAGCCAAGGAGCGTGAGTGTGCATGGTTGGAGAAATTGGCGGATCGAGATCATGAGAAGGAGTTGAAGGTGATTAAAGAATAGTATATTGGATCAAAATCCTCATAAGGCCCAGCTCAAGGGTTCCAAGTCAGAATTGACCGGAGGGAGCAGAGAAAGCTTGCTGCCAAGAATGTGAGAGAGATGTAGTCCCTTGCTAAGTTGATTATGCTTGATCGCATCTCTAAGTTTGAGAGCATGGATGCTGCTGTGTAGGTTTAAGCTGATCCCAAGTTGAAGAAAGTTTATGATTAAGGTTCAACGCATGTTCCTTTGGGTAGATCTCTGGTTGAAGTAGACTAAGGATTAGGTAGCTTTTGAGGACGCAGAGGATTCTGTTATAGTTATCACGGTTGGAGTAGTTTAGCGAATGCGGAGGTTCTCAAGGTACCCCTTATTCTCTAAATGCTTAGCTTTTCAGACCTTTTGTTGAACCTGCATATAAGAACATTTATTTTTGAAAAAACATTTGGGTTGTACTGCTTTAATTTCGTTATTTAAATTTGCTTAGGTTTATGATGCTAGTTCTCATTATCCATCTGTTTTCTGCAACTCATTAGTACTTTGGATTCTCGCTGCTTGCATGCTAAGGTTGATCTTATTTAGATACGAGGGAAGAGCAAAGGTATGATAAACCTGTGTTGACAGTTTAAGAATGCTATGATTTATTAAAAAAAGAAGAAAGAACTTATCTCTTTTGCTGCTTTTGTCTTGAATCGTCCAATTTTGCTTATCAGCAATTGAATGAGCTAGCTTCAAAGATTTTGCTTTAAAAAGTTCTATTTCTAACTTGAGTTTTGGTCTGAAATTTGCATTAACCTCTGTAGCGCATCTTGCATAGCTTTGGTTAGGGTATATATGTACACCCAAAACTTGCTCGCCGATTTTTGCTTACGTAACTTTTGCTTTGGTATTTATGTACACCCAAATTTGCTCACAGCTTTTGCTTGTGTAACTTTTGTTTGGGTATTTATGTACACCCAAACTTGCTCACAGCTTTTTGCTTGCGTAACTTTTGCTTGGGTATTTATGTACACCCAAACTTGCTCGCAGCTTTTACTTGCCTATATAACTTTTTCTTGGGTATTTTATGTACACCCAAACTTGCTCACAGCTTTTGCTTGTATAACTTCTGCTTGGGTATTTAAGGTACACTCAAACTTGCTCACAGCTTTTTACTTGTCTTTGTAACTTTTGCTTGGGTATTTAATGTACACCCAAACTTGCTCACAGTTTTTGCTCATGTAACTTCTACTTGGGTATTTAAGGTACACCCAAACTTGCTCACAGCTTTTTGCTTGTCTGTGTAACTTTTGTTTGAGTATTTAATGTACACCCAAACTTGCTCACAGCTTTTGCTTGTGTAACTTTTGCTTGGGTATTTAAGGTACCCCCAAACTTGCTCACAGCTTTTCGCTTGTGTGTGTAACTTCTGCTTGGGTATTTAATGTATACCCAAACTTGCTCACAGCTTTTGCTTGTGTAACTTCTGCTTGGGTATTTAAGGTACACCAAAACTTGCTCATAGCTTTTTGCTTGTCTGTGTAACTTCTGCTTGGGCATTTAATGTACACCCAAACTTGCTCACAGCTTTTTGCTTGTCTGTGTAACTTTTGCTTGGGTATTTAATGTACACCCAAACTTGCTTGCAGTTTTCGTTTCCGTCACTTTTGCTTGCATATTATATCATTTTAAGATTTTCTCCTGCGCAGGTTCAGAGTAGAAACAAGCTCTATAGATTTTGCTATCTTAATTACTTTAGAGACATGAAAAAATTGTTAGTGCTTTCAAGATCATAATTGATAAATTTATGAAAATAATTATTTAAATATTGTAAAAAGATATGAAACTTATCTGGGAAGTTGTTAATTTGTTCCTGCATAGCTTCATTATGGAATCTTGCTATGTAGGTTCTTAGTGACTCTCTTGTCTTCTGTTTGATTGTTAGGAGATGATGGTTGGTCTTTCGAGGAGCTCACAGCTTTCTTGAAAGTTGCTGGAAATTGCTTGCATAATAGAGCATTCGAGGCTCCATATACCATCATTGCCATTCTATATCCTTACACGTGCTCCACTGGATCTTGAGTTCCATCGTATTCAGCTGGCTGCGAAGTTTTGAAATTTGATGGCACAGGTTCCCTAATGATTTCATCTATAAAGGCTTTTTCTACTAAAGCTGTGTGTGCTGGTTCTGCGTACCTCTGCCTGCCTGCTTCTATTTTTGCCAGATGTTGTCACAATGCTTCAATTTCTTTGTAAATATCGTCATTATGAACCTATGTTTCTGCCTTTTGTGGTTCTGTTGCGACAAATGTAGCCTTATGGACTTGATGGCTGTCCCTTTCTTTGGTTTGAATGTGTGCAAGGTTTCATGTTTTTGCTCCGAAAATTGTATTGAGTGAAAGCTGAGGATGGTTGCAAGCTCGTGTCGACTGTCAACTCTGTCGGTTTTAAAGGTACATAACTTTCATCTTGGTTGCTATTTTCTTGTGTTGAATCTTGCTCCTTCCCTTCAAGTGTCTTGGTGTCACTTCGTGACAAGCATTCTCGTCTTGTTTCTTGTGACGAAGTGCTAGTAGCCTTTGTCATAGATGCTATGGCTTGCTCGATTGCTTTTAAATTTTGCCTTGTTTCTTTTATGCCTTGCATAAGTTTCTGTATTTGTGATGCTACAGTTGAGTCTGATGGTTTGGCTTTATTGACAGCATCTCTCGGATTCATGCTTGACGAAGAAGAGTTACTCATTCTGGCTTTGCTTCTGGAACCTAGGGTACTTCTACTAGGAGGTGATGAATTTTCTGAATTTTCCATGTGATATTCGTGGATCAAAAAGAACTCGGCCCCATGGTGGGCACCAAATGTTAACAGTAAAAAATAGAAAAGATGGTGTGGAATCGAGATCTTATTAATAGAGAGTTTACAATGAAGAGAGAATGATGATGGAAAATTATCTCCTTCCTTAGGTTAGTCTTAGAGGTATTTATAGGATGTCTAAATACAGTTACTCTAAGAATACAATTTTATTTAATTGGTGTTTGGGATATTCTTATTCTAGTAGTATTTACTCTAACTAACTTTGATAAGATTATCTCTAGAATATCTCCACGTGTCCTGATTCTCATAGGACTTGATTTAGGGTATAACACCATCCATACCAATTAAACTCATCACGTCAGATTTGATTGGGTTTTATTGGATCGGATTGATTTGGTTATGTTCAATCAAACTGATTTGGTTTGAACACTCCTAAGTTATCCTTGTTTTGTCATCTATTTCGCTTGATATATTATTTTTGTTTCTATTTTCATCTTCCATTTAAAAATTAATAATTGCATTAGAGTGATTATTAGCATTATTGGAATGATTAAGATGTAATAAATTGGTTGGTCGGATTTGATGATCAGCCTAGTCTATCATTTGGTGTTTCCAGAAGAGGAGAAATTGGAAGGGAGTCAAGGTTGTTGGGTTTCGGCCTTTTCTCCAATTCGGCTGGGCCTTACTTGGGCTAAATCTATTGGGGCTCTCTGTCTGACTTGATTCCGGACCAATGGCAAACAGGCAAAACAAGGAATAATAGGCAAAATAAATTGCAATATATATAATATATAATGTTATATAAAATTATAAATTTATAATTTTAAGATATTATTAAATATATAAATTTTTACAAATTTATAAGGAAATTATTAAATAAAAAATTAATTATATAATAATACATCATAATTATAATTATATAATGTCTTTTAATATTATAACTATATTACTTTTAATAAATAAATAATAAAGAGTAGACGAAAAGGAGAGAGAAAGAGGAAGATTAATAAATAATTTTTATTTTTTAAGAATATAATGGGATGTTTTAATTAATTAATATTTAATTAACAAAATAATTGTAATTATAATGCATCCTTGTCATCGTGGGGTCTTGGACACATCAGCAAACTCTTTCTAGGTTAGAAAAAGTCAAGGGAGGCTAAGTCTAACAATGCAATGTGCCACGTCAGCTTTTCCGTCCACATTTAGCGTATTTGCGTCAGTTTGTTAATTTAGGGAGGACTTTGTCACAGAATAAACTTTTGAGATGGATATCCCAGTAAAAATCATGTACAGGGGCTTCTTTGTTTATTATTCTACAAAACAATAGTAATGATGCAACATTATACTGCACATTACTGTTTTTAACTTAAAAAATATATAATATTATAAATAAATTATTAAATAAAAAAATTAATTATATAATAATATTTTATATTTATAAATTTATAAATCAAATAATATTATAATTATTTCACGTTCGTTAATTTTTCGGTTGACCTTTCAGGCCTATCAATAATCATGTACTCATTGAAAAACTAAATCTAAAATTGTTTTTTTTTTTTAATAAGAACAAAATTGAATAGATTAAAGGAAACAAAAAGAGACCAATCATTGACGTTACTATCGGAAAAGAAATGTAAAGCCCAAGAATACTCTTTTCCTTTTATTCTACCTGCCTCCCTCTTTTTTACTTTTTATTCCAATTTCCATCCTTCTCTCTTTCTCTCTCTCTCCTTTTTTTTTTTTTTTTTTTCGATTTTCTTCCGGTATCCAGGGCTTCGCCCGACCTCTCTCTCCCTTTTGATCAGAACAAAACCAAGGCAACAAGCTAAGAACAGCCACAACATAATGTCTGAATAAGACCATAAAATTCCGAATCCGATTCATATTTCATCCTTTTAGAATTAGTGATTGATTATAATTATAAAAAAAACTACGCTGTGCTCAAAGTAAGTAAATAACAAGTACATTAATAAAGGCAACCCTCCAATATTGTGTTCAGCAAGAGAAGTAACGGCATAATTAACTTTTTCTGCAACATAAAT